CAGGGCCCCAGGGCAGTGCCCAGCTCTGCTCACCTGGTGCTAAACACTGAGCTGCAGCGCGTGGAGGTCGTTGGCGAGTCTGTCCTCAGCTGAGCTCTCGTCCTCGTAGGGGTACCCGGTGTAGCCCCCCTGTTCCTTGCAGTACCTGAGGAACCTGCAGGTGCACAGGGAGGGGCACGAGGTGGCACCAGCCTCGCTGCTCTGTGGCAGGGGGCATGGCCAGGCAGCAGGAAAGGGCAGGTGCTGCTGAGCCCCGTCAGTGGCAGGGCCAGGAGCAGCTCACCTGGCCCAGTGGTCGTCCTTGCTGAGCACGGTCGGATTACCCACCACGATCAGCAGAGCCTTGGCCCTGGTGATGGCCACGTTGAGCCTCTGAAGAGGACAAGCCAGAGAGCTTTACCTGGCTGCAACATCTCTCATCGTCTCACAGCCCCACCTGGCTGCAGGCAGCTCTGGTGTGGCACTGAGCACCCAGAGCAGCTCCACCTGCCCGTGAGAACCAGAGGGAAGAAGGGCATGCCAAGGGGAAGGGTCTGCTCGGGGCTAGGTGGTACCTTGGGGTTCTTGAGGAAGCCCAGCCTGAAGGTCTGGTCGAACTGGAGGTACGTGCTGCAGCTGCGCACGGTGGAGATGAGGATCACCTGCCGCTCCTGGCCCTGGAACTCTTCCACAGAGCCCACCTGGGGCAGGGACAACAGGTGAGGGGCCAGGAGCACCCCTGGGCTCCAGGGGCTCCTCTCTCCTCCATGCCCAGGACGTACCTTCAGCTGGCTGATGTCCGGCAGCTTCTGCAGATCGGGATCCAGGGAGCTGATGGCTTTCCGGATCTTCTCCACCTGAGTGGAGGCACGTGGCAAAATCCAGCCACCACAGGGCCATCCTTGTGCCAGCCCCGGGGCTGCCCATCCATCCCAGTGCCCCCTGTCCCTTGGGGAGGTCTCTGCCCGTGCCCTGCCTCCCTCACCTGCTTCCTGTAGGGGGAGATGATGCCGATCTCCTTGGGGGACACACTGGGGCAGCTGCCCCTGCCCCGGCTCTGCAGCAGCTTCTTGAGGTAGTGCACCAGCACCTCAATTTCGGCCGTGTTGAAGAATGAGGGACTCCTGGCCTCTCTCTGGTCTTCCCCACAAACCCCATGGAAGATGATGGGGAAGCCCTGGGGATGGAGAACATTTGGCTCTGCTCTGCCTGTGCCTCGGGGAACCCCCTGGGTCAGTCCCTCCACTCACTTTTTTGGGAAGCTCCTCCCAAGTACAATACAGGTTCCGGACGTCAAGCCCATTGCTCCTGGACACCTTCAGCTCGTTGTCATAGAAGAGCTCGTTGGGGATCCTGAGAATGGCCTCGTGGGACCTGGGAGAGGCAGGACCGTGCCAGGGTGGGTGCCGTGTGGGTCCAGAACCCTCTCAGGCACCGTGCAGCCAGGACAGCAGATGCACTCCCATCTCCCACACCAGCTGGGGCACTCTGAGGCTCTGGGGGACAGGTCCTGGAGCGCCGTGCTCACCAATCCCTGCCTGCTCCGATCCCTTCCTGCTCCATCCCTGTCCCCACCTGTAGTTCCAGAGCAGTTTGGTGATGAACTGTGGGTCGTATCCTCCACTCGACTTCTTGTACAAGGGGTTGTGCAGCATCAGCCTCTCCAGCAGCGAGGTGCCTGTGCCCAGTGATATCCTGTGGCTCCCCACAAGGCCACTCAGCCCCTGTGGGGTGCCCGCAGCACTCCCACTCCTCTCCCTACTCACCCAGACCATACTGGATGGCCAGTGGGGAGGTCAGGACGGGGCCCAGCTGCTTGGGGTCTCCTGCCAGCACCAGCTGCCCCCCATTGGGGTTGGTCTCCTCATCCATGGGAGCCAGGAGTCCTGGGAAGAGGGGGAGCTCAGCAGGGAATGGGAGGGAGCCCAGGCCATGCAGAGTCAGCAGCCAGGCACCACTCACCCGCGATGGCGACGAGGCTCTCCGGCTCTACCGCGTGCCCGCACTCGTCGATGAAGACGTGGGAGAAATACCCAGGGGGAAAATTGGCTGACACCAGCCTGGAGGAGAGATGGAATGAGGCTGTCCTCAGCATCCTGCCCCACCTGGCCATCCTTCCTCTCCCACCCTTCATCCTCATCCTCCCACATAGGAGGGATTTCCCCCGCTGCTGCCTGCCCTCCTCCAACCCCTCCCTGCTGAGTACCAGAGGGACTGCCCTCACAGCCTGGCTGAAAGGCAGCCCTGGGTCCACCTGCCATGGATGCTGGGGACAACCCCAGCTCCTCTGACCTTCCTGCTGTCACCAGTGTGGTGATGATAATCCGGTAGCGCCTCAGGCTCTCCTTGCTTGGGTACACGTAGCTGCTCTGCTCATCATCCCAGTTGCAGCAGGGCTGGAGTGCAGGCATTGGGTGAGGTCCCATGATCCTGGGGGACGCCACCCCAGATGTCTGTCAGGATTTCAGGGTGGAGGGGCAGGGACCTACCATGATATCAGGGGGCACTTCCCTGCAGTTCCTGGAGCTGGCGATGAGCCTGTAGACATTCTGAGGGGCAATGTCCTTGATGAGGCACTGGCACAGCAGGTCTGCAGCACTGTTGGAGGGGGCACAGGCCAGGATACGGGCATCTTTGAAGCACGTCCACACCTGGGTGGGAGGAGGAGGTGACAGCATTGAGCCCCACGGATGAGAATGGGCAGCAATGCTCAGGGCTGGGTTTGGGTACCGGCCACCCACCTGCTTGATGGCCTCCACCATAGTGACTGTCTTGCCAGTGCCAGGAGGGCCAAAGATGAGGTATGGGGCTGGCCGGGACACCCCTGTCACGATGTGGGTCACAGCTCTGCGCTGCTCCTCGTTGCTCTCCAGCTTGCGGTTGAACCACCTGCGGGAGCAGAGGCTGCGCTGCCTCCATTCCCTCCATCCCCTCATCCCCCAGACCCTCCCACCCTGCACATCTGGGACTCACCGGGGCTGGAAGGGGCCAGAGAACAGGGACTTGTGGCTGGAGGCGGAGGGGAAGAGGAGGCTGAACAAGCCCCGGCGCGTGGCCAGGACTGCAGCCCGGTGCTGGACCTGCAGCGGCAGCCGGCTGAAGGTGAAGGTCACGTCGAACTTCAGGTTGTTCACAAACTTCTTCTGCAGCCTGGGAAGGAGTGGTGTGAGGAGGGCACGGGGCACGCCCCCATGCCCTCCTGACCCTCTCCAACCCACTCCTGGCCTTTGGCATCTCTGAGAAAGGCTGCTGGGAGCAGACACCACTCACTTGGAGGAGAAGCCCAGCCTGACCTTCTCCAGCTCCACGCTGTGCACGTAGCCCTTGTAGCGCACGAGTGGGGAGCGGTCCCGCTCGCTGCTCAGGTGGGCAAACAGGTGGTCCCCTCTCAGCACGGACGGGCGGTTCTCGGCCACGCCAGGCACCTGTCCAAAGGGCCAGTGTGATGCCAGGCACTCTGGGAGTGCCAGCACCCCTCCCATGCCCCAGCCCCCCACGCACATCGAGAACCAGCAGCGCCCTGTCCTGCACCATGGTCACATCCTGCATGTCGTAGCGCCGGATGTCAACCTCCATCTGAATCTCCTCCAGGTGCAGCAGCAGCTGGAATTTCTGGTAGTAGTTCTCAGCCTGCAGAGGTGCTTCCAGCAGCGAGCTGAGGGCAGCAGCAATGTCATTGTGTCCCAGGGACAGCTTGGCACTCAAGGAACACCTCAGCATTGCTCTCAGCCCTTGGCACTCACCGCATGGCAGCCCAGCTGGAGCTGGCACTGTTGTTGGGTCCGAGCACGATCGTGTCCTTGAGGCTCTTTGGGTAGTGGTAGGTGCCCAGAGGGATCTCCCTCTCCAGTTCATTTTTCAGGGAGCTGCGTGGAGGGGACAGCAGTGCTTCAGGGACTACATGGTGTCCCCAACCCCACTGTCACCAGCCATGGTGCAGGGCTGAAGAACTGTCAAGGAGCTGAACCTTGTCCTGGCTGGAGAACAGGCTGGGCCCCTCTGCTCAGGATGGCAGCGGGTGAGCCCCCCACATACCTGTCAGGGGGGATGCCATCCTCGGTGATCACTGTGACGTGGCGCTGGAGGCTGGCCTCGTAGGGCTGGAAGGGTGCCGAGGGCCGCAGGTCCTTGGCCAGCTGGCTCTCGGCAATGGCAGCAACGTAGCGTGAGATGCTGAAGGACACGTCTGGCTCCTTGGTGAACTCGAAGAACACCACAGCACTGAAGTGCCCATTGCAGGTGGTGAGGCACCGCACCTGGATGGGGTACATCCCACCTGCGGGGCGAAGTGGTGAGGCTGGGTCCTGCATCCTCTCTGCAGGGCAGGGCACGGGGCAGGGGACGGGATGGGACCCACCTGGGTGCAACAGCAGGGACTGGCCCTGCACTGCCTCTTGCTCATCGGTGAAGGAGAGCTCCTGTGCCTGCTGGCGTGGCTGGAAGCGCTGCAGTGTCACCACCTCTGTGCCACGGTTCTGCACCAGCACAGTGACTGTGCGGGGCTCACCCGGCTCCACTGGGAAGCGGATGTTCCCGTCGCCCTGGTCATGGTCTGAGACGATCTCTACCCCATGCTTCCCACGAATGAGCTCAGCCCTGTGGGGAGGGAGGGTCAGGCTTTCCCAGCCAGGTGGGGGATCCAAGGGACATGCCGAGGTGGGGTGCTGCTGGTCATACCACTGCCTGGCATAGCTCTGGGGCATTTGTGGGGTGGAGCTGAGCTGCTGTCCTGAGGCAGACGTGGACACGGACGTCTGTGCATTCCTTCTGGGTCGCCGGTACTGGTCTGCCACCACCACGTGCCTCGTCACCTGCAAGGAGCAGCCAGAATCAGCGTGGCCCTGGGATTCTGCAGGGGACTCCTGAGGAGCCAGTCCTGGTGGGCACTGCCCCAGCGTGAGCTCACCTTGAATTTCACCACCTCTCCGCGCACCTGAACCTGGTGGGTTGTCTTCAGTGCGTACAACATGCAGGAAAAATTTGGCGTCCTTGCATCAGTCCTGTGGAGCCAAGGGAGAGGGTTTGTGTGGGACAGTGTGGCCCGGCTGCCGTGGGCACAGGCAGCTGAGGTGAGGCAAGTGGGAAGATGAAGCAGGACACTGAGGCTGCAGTGAGGGGGCTCTCAGCAGGTCCCCTCTGCTCCTGGAGAGGAAGGAGGACTTGGGCTTCCCAGTGGTGTGTGCAAATCTTACATCCCTGCTGGCTGCTCCAGCAAGTCCGTGCTGTGCCATCCCTGTCCCAGCTATGCCACAGCCATTGCAGCTGTCCCACTGCATCACTGCCTGCAGTGACAGCCATGCAGTCCCTGCCCATGCCATGCTCAGGAGCTGAGCTGGCACTGCCACTGCGCTCCCAGCAGCGATGATTCCCCAGTACCTCCTCTCAGTCCCACCAGTGCCCCGAGCCCTGGCTTTGCCAATGATTAACAGCGGTGGTATTGCACAAGGGCCAGCGTGATTGGTGCCAGCGGGTGAGGTGGGGGAGTATGGTGGGCAGAGCGTGCCCAAGGCCATCCCCAGGCAGCTGGGGGCCCGTGGAGCTGGGGATCATCCCAGCAGGGCTTTGGAGACACAGACGAGCTTGGGGACCCCAGTGATGCTGCTGGGGACCCGTGACTGGGGATGCTGGCCCGGGCTCTGTCCCAGGTGAGGCTGCCGGGTCTGGCCGAGGGCTCTCACCTGCCCCGGAACTCCTGGTTGTAGATGGTCCGCAGCGCTTCCCGCAGGCTTGTCTGCTCCCGGCCCGTGTCCTGCAGGAACTGCACGAACTGATGCCCCCAAAGACTGGCCTCCGCTACGCTGAACCGCGGCATGGTTGAGCCGAGCCGAGCCGAGCCGAGCCGAGCCGTGCCGAGCCGAGATGGTGCCGCGTCCAGGAGTGCCAGGTTAAGCCGGGCTGGGCTGGGCTGGGCTGAGCCAGGGCTGGTCGCGCAGGGAGAAACGAAAGCGAAAGAGACCGTGGGGCTGCGGGCCGGCCCGCCCGGCACGGGGCGGATCGGGGCCGGCACGGGACAGCGCAGCCGGGTCCGCAGCCGGGGGGAGAGGGGCCAGGAGGCAGGCAGGGAACCGGCCGGTCTGCAGGATGATTAGCTAAAGATTCGGAGAAGGACAAAGCGATAGAAGCGCTCCTACGGCTGGAGCAGCGGCGGTGAAGGGCTTGCAGCGTGACCCAGGAGCAGGCTAGCCTTGAGGCAGATAAGAGCTGTTGTGTGCAGTCTTATCTTGGGCCCCGCTCCGGCTTCACATTCTTGGAATTGCTGCAGCGATTTCCTGGATGGGTCCAGGGCCGCAGCCCACAGCACCTGAGGCCCACACAAGCTTTCATCTCCCCTGGGTGCTGCCCCAGGAGCAGCCTCTCAAACTGTCCTGTGCAAACCCTCCAAACAGCCCTGCTTTGGCCCGTGTGGGATACAGCCAGGAGTGTCTGAAGCAGGTGTTAAAGACACCGAGGGTGAGTGCAATGAACTCCTGGCTGCCTTTTTTCCAGGGTGGGGAGCTGCATTAAAGCTCTGTGATTGTTTCAGTTTGGAACCTCAGCCCTCCAGTTCCCCTGTGTACCAGGGTTGGAGCATCACCCATGGGTCTGGCTGATACCATCCCTGCCTTAATCACAGAACTGTTGATGTTGGAAAAGACCTTTGAGATCATTAAAGTCCAACCATCGACCCAGCCCCACCACTGTGATCAGCACTAAACCAGGTCAAGTGCCACATTCACATTTTGAACACTTTCAGGGATGGTGATGCCAACACTTCCTAGACTTCAGGAATTAACAGGAGTGAGACCACGAAAGAACAGACACAAATGGCTTTAAACAAAGACTGGTGTATTTGCACTAGACTGGTTGATACAGAGGATGCCTGAGGGATGAATTGTCAGTCTCAGCAGCAAATACAAATATATTTTAATTAGATAAACCCCACAAAGGATAAACACTTATTTTGCGGCATTATGTGCAAAACCTGAAGTGTAATGCACAGGCAACCCCACCCCTTCTCTTCCCAACCCTTTTTCCTTTGTGTATTTAAAAACAAGAAGACATGAGCCAGTTTAAGAACCAGAACCTGCAAGGCGCCCAGTGATAACCAAGTGCAAACAAAGCAAAGGGAGTTCACCGAAGGAGGTTCACTTTGTAGTGAATCTCTGTTCCAAGATCTGAAAGGCGTATGTCTATCTCTTCATCCTCCCCTTCACAGAAACTGTTATGACTGCTAGTTTTGATGTCAGAGGGGGAAAACAGTAATGCAGAGCAAGCATGTAGAAGAGATTAATTCCAAAGTCCCTTCTAAGCATGACAAGAAACTGTCCACAACTGAGACAAATGGAAAGGATTTTTTCTTTCACTTTGGTGCAAGTTTATTTATTTTGTACACTATCCATCCATACACCTGTGATACAAATCTATGAACCTGCCACAAAGCATTAAAGCACAACATACCTATTATTTTGTAGACATTTGCATTTTTAATCACCATCCAGCCCTTGTGGATCAGCAGTGACTCATCTTGTAGTTCTGTAAAAATGCAGATGTCTGGTAACCGTACGTACATGAGGGAGGGGAGAAGAAAGATGTTCACTTTTAGGGAACATGGCTCAAATCTTCAGATTAAAAAAAAGTTACGCCCCCAGAAGAGCTGGGTCAGTAGGGAATTCTGTAAAGGATCCTGTAAACTCATTTTCTACAGCAAAATCTAAGCCTGCAGGCATCTGCTTTGTGGAGGTTGGGAATAAGGATACACGAGGACTCACTGTCTTGCACTTACTGTGTCTTGCAGCGCCGTGAGCTCTTGGCAGGTTTGACAAACTTACTGGATACCTGGAGTGCTGGATACAGGTGAAGGGAACTCTCTGCACCCTCTCCTGGGGTAATAATAGGGCTTTTCCAGCTAGGAAGTTTTCCAGCCAGTGACTGAAAACAGCTATACTTCTGAGCCACGAATGGCTGAATTTAAATGACCTATTAAATGCAGCTACAACAGGAAGTTTATGTGGCAGGAAACACAAAACACAAAGACAACTATTTGTTCCACGGTTCCCTCTCAGGCTAGAAAACCTGTTAACTTTGAAAGCCCTAAAAAATGCTGCTCTGGTTTGAAAACCATCTACTTGGCATAGGACCATATTTGTTTTTTTGCACACGACTGTTTCATACACCTCCTCGTTTCTGCATTAAGCATTCTGCATTTCTTTGCCAATCTTGTAGCTGAGGATTTTGTTCCAGTCAATCTTGGTGCGGGTGACGGGCAGCTGCCGGCGTAAGGCTTTGAAAGTGGTGTCTGACATAGTTTGGTAGTTTTCACTGATTGCTGTCTGCAAGGGCAAGCAGATTTGGTTAGGGCACGCATAAAACACTATGAGACAGCTCAACTTAGCATTAAAGCCACAAACTCCTTTCTATAAGCTGTAAGGCACACTATTAACTAAATTAATAATGCAGTCATCAGCATTTGTGCAAGTCAAAGGTTTTCTATTCACCTCCCCTCTAATGTAGCAGCATCTCCTTAGGTCTTTCACTGACTTTATCTCTTTCCAGTCTCCTTGCACAGAGGCTGGGACAATGCACAAGCTGTTGCACAAATTTCCTCCTCAGTATTTTTAACTGTCACAGAGGAAAATACATTGACTCACCCACTCCCCTCCCATGCTTGTTCCAGGTATCATTTGTAACCTTTTAAAAAACCATACAGTAACTTGATAGTTAATTACAACACAGCTTTGTAACCGTACAGCTTCATAACTGTATTTTTTAAACAAACACTACTGCCCTTTTCTCAGTAATTCTTACAGCCAGGAACAGAACCAGAGGTCAGTTTTCCATGTTTCCATTAACTGCAAATGGAGACCGATACAATTCTGTGCTTTATTTAACTACCACTGACCTTACCTGGTACTCGTTTTCTGCATTTTCTATGATCTTAATAAACTCCTTAGCAGTTTGGACATCACTCTGCAAAGGAAAAAAATAACTGCATGTTTAAGAGCAACTTACAAAAGCTACACAATAGATTTCTTCTCAAATGATAGGCTGAGTATAGATAAAGTAGGTAACATCATCAGCTTGTGCCTTGTGGTTGTAGCTGGATTCCTTTCACTTACTACATAGTGGGTAGAGCTTGTGCTCCAAACTGGAACAAAGCTGCACCCTAGTGAGCAAAAAGGAAGTGGACTTTCATGGTAAAATGATTCACTTTGCAGCTGCTGCTCCCTCTACCATACTAGAGGATTTCTTGATTTCCCTTAGCATATGTCTTACTGTTTCTTTCCCTTGCACAGAGACAGAAAAGCATATTCTGTCCTTTTTAACCCTAACTTCCAAGAGAAGCTTCCCAACACAGACTTTGTAATAAGACTGAATTTTAAGCAGTTGGGAATCTGGGATTCCTACGTGACTCTAAACACCACATTGACTGTTCACCCTAAAATTACTTTAAAGTCAAGAGAATGCAGTCACAGCAGTGCATGCTTCATGAGCTGTTAAAGGAATGAAAACAGCTGCTTATCATAAAGATCCTTTAGCATACTTACTGACACCTGTACAGAGTCCTGAATGTCTTTGTGACTAACCAGCTGGACGTTGCCATCTTCATAGTAATGCACCTGGACAAAAAGACAGAATGCAGGTTTTATGATGATCATTCCCTCCAGAATTCCTGAGCCCCCAAATGCTATTAAAATGCCACAACAGAGCATCGTGCCAGTCTTCTCTGCTTACATGGAGACTAAAAGCAGGATAGATTATCTAAAAGGTTTCATTCTTTGTCAGGACTGTTCAAGATTATGTTAATCAGTAAATGCCTAGAGCTGAGCTAGGAGCAATTATAAAAGACTCAAGGCAGAGGTTTTAGCCTTATGAAGTGAAGCAAAGTGGAGGCCTATGGGGTAATGCTACATAATAAACCACAGGCCAGATCTGAGACTATTCCTGGAATAGTAGATTTAAGAATTACTTTCTTGAATTGTTTAGTTTAGTAACATCCTGACTTGAGAAGGACATCTCTGCTGCATTTCAGGATCTTACTCTGAACCAAATGCATTTGTGTAAGAGAAGCAGAATGCAGCTTCTCCTGTTACTGCCAGGAAAAATAACTCACCTGGATTTTGAGCACTGCAGCCACTTGAGCTGTTGGTGGTGTGATGGTAAACTTCCATTCTGATCTCCAACGCCCGTTCCTAAAAGTAATCAAAGCATGAAAAACTAGTTCCAAGAAGCTCTAACAGCAAAAAGAACAAAATTAACAACCAAGTTGTTTCTGATGTCTTATCACCAATACCACATGGGATTTAGTGCTTTAGATGGCATGGAGTTAAATTTCTGCAGCCCAGCTGAATATAATGCAGCTTCAGTACACAGAAGCTCCAGAGATGTAAAGGAGTATCTATCCAGCTCTGCTAATGCCTTTTCCTCCAGAGAGGTCACAGGAAGAGTTTGGTAAGTGCCAAGGGGGCTGCAAGGAAAACAGACTACAGAAGGAAAAGAACTTCTTGGGAAGCCCAAAACTCCCTGTCCTTCAGACCGTGTCAGAGCTAGAGGATGGGCTGGTTTGAGGAACCAGGCAAAGGAAGAAAACACACTAAGTTGAAATAATCTTACCAGAAGTTTTTGGGCTGAAACTGGTGGCTCTCAATACAGGCAATTATTGTCTGCTGTCCATCTATAGATTTACCATAAACCTGTATTTAGAAAAAGAGTTAAAAAGGCCCAAGAGCTAAGGAAAGGCATTCTTAATCTCTGTTCTTGGCAGCAGGTGCAGGCTGCTGAGGTGGTACCTCACTGGGAACATGCATGAGTTACATTGTCCAACACCTCCCCTGGCAGGCATCTTACTATGGGTAGGTGTGAAGGTCTTGGCAGTCCTGCCATGACAAGGGTCTAATTCATCTTTACCTCTGTGTGCATACCAAGACAGTTGCACCCTCTTTGGAACACATCATTCCAAAGTTAGCCAAAATGCTAGAGAGGATGGAGAATTCCAACAGCTCTGTCCAGCAGAGTCTGCTCTGGGACTGACTGACTCAGAGGCATACACCTTCAGGGAAACAAGATGGATACTCAACAGTGCAGAAGCCATTGGGGTAATGATCTTTGACGTAGGCTCTCAGTGCACTGTCACAGGCATCTCTCCATGGTTTTAAAGCCGATTCTGTGTCCTCGGGCTGGGGATCACTTGCTTCTTTCCTTAAGTGATCAAACTTAAAAGAAAGCTTGTTTCTTGGGTCTAAAAATCTGCCATTGCCCAGATCACCGTGTTCTGTGATTAAGACCTGGAATAGAAGTTGAAATGATGATACATTTAGGCTGATATAGATGTGTTATTTTGCATTTTCCCCTACTTGCATATCAGTGTTACAATTGGTTCTTTCATTGAGCTATAAGGTCACGTAAAGAAAAGCAAATATTTTTGGTAATAATTTAAATTAGTAGTTGTTGTGAGGCTGAAGGTAACTCTGTGCTCTCCACAGTAATACTGCACTTCAACTTCTGTCCCAGAAAAGGCTGAACTATAATAATGTATAAATTTGGCTTAAAGTTGGGTATCCTTACAATACAAACAGGTTGCTTTGCATTTAAATTGATTTTAGCTATTTTCCTTCTTTGTTACTAAAGGAAACAGAGACTTTTGCTCTGAAATCTACCATTTATTGCCATGTTTCATGTTTTGCAATAGCTCTACTTCTGGGCAAGAAGGGTACATAGATTTGACTACTTCTAAAATATAACTAAAGCAGACAGTAAAGCAGCATTGCACATTGCCTTCTTTTTTTCTTTTTTGCCTTAATTCTCTGGCTTCCCAAATATTAACTTTATTGGGGTGGGTTTTTGTTGGGTTTTTTTTTTGCAGGTCGTACAGTAACTTATTCATCAAAGCTATTTCTATGAACAGCCTTCTTAATATATGCCTCCCATACTCCCATAAACATATCTGGGACACTAGAAAAGCTGGGTCAGAGCTTGGCTCAGAGAACAGAGCAGATGGTCAGGCAGCTTTCTGGCTTCTCTACGACTTGCTGTCTGTTCTAAAAAAAAGAACTAAAAAAACCCCTGAAATAACTTGTTTTGCTGGCATAGACTGGATAGTATTAGGTATAATCACTACACCAAATCAATGATTTGGTATAAACAAAGATAAGTTTGTTTTTTAGGGTAGCTGGGAATGGATTAAAATTGCAGAAAATAAACCAAACAAACTTTTAAGAATTTATTACCAATTGTCAGTAGGAACTGTAAGCAAGTAGCAACATAAGGATTTGTAAGTCAGCTTTAAATAGACAGTAATCTTTAATCACTCATACTCAAGTAAAATTCCAGTGAGTTCAGCATGGAGCTTTAAGGAACAATGAATTGGATTTACTAAGTAGTACAACACAGAACTTAGAGAATATCTTGGTTATGCTTTGCTCTTATCAAAGGAAGTTTGTCACAGTGATATGTGGGGGAAGGAGGAG